AGGAATTATGATATATATTAAAATATATTGGCCAAGTGAGAGATTGTTGGAACATTTTAATAATATATTCTTATATTAATATTCCAATAATTATGTGACAAAATATATTTATCTAATTATATTAGCTATTTTATCAAATAAAGTGCCTTAAATAATTATGTGATCAAATAATGTTAAAAAGCTATTTAGATTTTATTTAAGAATTATTTAATAATTAATTAAATAATTGGATATGGACTCAAATATGAGTGGATGTCACGATGATCCATTTGGGAATAATGGAAACCCTAATTGACCATCATACTATATAAAGACTAGGGTCTTCAATATATCATACACAAGTAAAAATAATCTCTTATATTTATCTAAAGAGTGTTCAAGACACTAGGAATACCGGTTGAGGAAAATCCACAAGCCAACTAGTGTCAGTCACTTGTCTCTACACTTTTGCATTTCAGGATTACAGTTATCATTGTCAAAAGTTTTTTTTTTATCTTATGGATCCAAGTATTCCCATAAAATCTAATATCTCGTAACCTAACATAACGTAGATCCTGTAGTTATATACATGTTCATAATTATTTATTATATTCCACACTAAAGTATATGGTATAGTATATAGAACATGTATATGTGATTAATTGTTATTGACTTAATTCCAACAATATCATGTTTATTATAATTATTACTGATTTTTTAAATAAAAATTAAATGAAAATAACTAAGTATTATAATTATTCTTAAAATGATCAAATATAATTTAATAATCGATTTTGATTGCTATAATTTAATTGTTACCTCCAACCGAGTCGGGGGCAGGGATGGCTCTAGTAATACTTAAAACACACTCTGCTCTGTTGCCATACCTTCTAATTTCCCTTAACATGAGAAAGAAAAACTATTTTGAATAAGAATGATGCTTATACTTGTAGAAATCAATATTTGTATTTTCAAGTTATTATAGAAGATTCTTCGATGTTGTGTCGTTACAATATTTTTTTCTCAATTATTATTTTTTAATCGTACCAGCATTTCCGTTAATATATTTAAATTGAAAACGACATAAAGTCCTAAATTGTGTATCTGTCTTAACGATGATGGACTTTCTTGTAATGTTGCTAAACTAATAAAAAGCATGCTACATTTGCTTTTTTGACAAAAGAGCTATTGCTATAGATTCCAAAACTAGCTTTCTTCTTTTTATATATAGATAATGATATTTCTAAAACTATTTAATTGGATAATGCATACCATTAATTAGAAGTTGATCAAATTTTTTTATGATTAGTTATAGAGCTCCAAGGATATTATTAAACATACTATGAGTATTAACTCTTTTTTTTTTACAATTTGTTCATTTATTTTTATTTTAATAAAAATATATATACTTATATACACAATGATTTTATCATGAATTTTTCATAGATTATGGCGCGCTGGTTTAGACAGTGATTTTATAATGAATTTTTTCATAAATTTCGAAAAAAGTGAATGTGATTCTTAACTTTCTAAAAGACTTATGTAAAAAAAGTTTTTGAGGAAATGTTATCTTAATGATTATATACATATAGCAGTATAATATTGAAATCATATGAATATTTTATTTTGGGTTAAATAGGTTTTTGATTTTTATAAATATATTAAATCTTAGTTTTAGTCTCTATAAGAAAAAATAATAGGTTTTCGTCCTTATAAAAAAATTTTATATATAATTTTAGTTTATGTTATTTTCTAAAATTCTGAAAGTTATTTAATTATCTTTAAATTATTAAACTTTTGAATTTTTTTTTATATATATTTGGAATATTACATTAAATTTTTTTATTTAATTGTAGAATTTTTTAAAACGAGGAGAATTAAATATGAAATTTTAAAATTTTAAAAGATAATGATAAAAGTAATGAAAATCTCGAGTTAGAAATCAAATTTTGAGTTCTTTTTTTTTTGAAGAAATTTTTACATTTTAAACATGTCTGAGAAATAATCATTCAAAAATACACATTAGTCTAACAACAGAGACTAAAATTACGTGCATAATGATTTTGTAGGGACTAAAACATATTATTTCTTATAAAAACCTAAAATAAAATTTAATAATTTTATAAAAACCAAAAACATATTTAGAAACAGCAGTCACTAACACTGTATTTATTTGTCTAAAGAAAGTGAAAGGAAATAGACTTCAAAGAATAAAGTTTATATATCACAAAGAAAAGGAAGAAATTTTAATTCCTTTAGTTAATTTTTTTCATTTCATTTCATTTGAGTTATCCAATTGATCCAAGTTCGAACTAATGTGCCGATCCGAGCTATTCGAAAACTTTAATTAAATAGAGTTCGAGATGAAAAAAAGTTCGTGACAAACTCGAGTTAATTCAAATCTTATCGACTTGAGTCATGCTGAATCAAGTTTAACTCAGTTCCACCAACAAAAGTATACACTTAATGACCAAATCAAAACCCTTTGATGATGATCATATGATTCTATATGATTAGTGTTGAATATATAGCATAATTGTTTTAGGACCCAACCCTATTCAAGTCACTTATATCATAAGTCCTTCGTTTGGTGAAAAATATATTTTCGATTCAGTTTTATCTATAGATATTATAAAATCTTCACTTCGATGAGCATCAGAGTCCTTTTAAGTATACTTTCCATCTAAAAAAAGATTGTTTTGTCTTTTGTTGCATCTCAATGACTCCACCAACCATCATCAAATTCAAGTCGGACTTTGCTCAATTTATCTACCTCCATTTAATGTGCATTTAAGCCTTATTTATGAGTTTAGAAGAGAAGAGAAGACTTCGAGAAACGGATTTGTAAAAAATTATAGAAAAATATTTGATATTTTTTGGAAAAAAAAGGATTTTGTATAGAATGATAAAACAGTGGTTATCATTACTATATTTTTAATTTTCAAAATATTATAATAATATAAAATATATTTGGAAAATTTATGTAAATCCTCTGAAACCCTCTAAAATCCTCCGTTAATAAAATTTTTGAGTTTCCCCAAATTAGAGAGGTTTTGGTGTTATGAATAAAAGTCAACACTTCAAAACTTTTCCAACCAAAATTCTTCAATTCTTTCCATTTAATTCTTCTCTTTTTTTAAAAATCCTTTATCATTTCGCCTCCAAACTTCCAAACAGATCCTTATAAGAGATAAACAGGAGGGCGATGAATGAGTACCTCTAATTTAATAAGTTAATCTCAATATGATTTTTAGTAATGAATCACTTGTGTCTTTTTCTCTCATGAATAGACAAGAAGTGAAAATAGATAAATGGAGTGAAGTCAGACTCCTTAAATTCATTCTAAGGCCTGAGTCTGACCTTTTCGAAAGCCTAAATAACCTATTAATTTACATAAAAGTCTATTTTATTTTAATATTTTTTAAATAAGAAATTGAATTAATGTTGAAATAGACTAAGAAATTAAAAGATTAATTAGACTAAATGCTTATTTGCATTGAGTTATTCAAGTTTACCAATTAACATATATTTTGTGATACTATTTGTTTGAGAGAACTTAGGAAAACAACTTATGACATTGTTCATAAAGTTTTTTCAATGTATTTTCATAAGTCCTTCTAGACAAATCTGAACCAAACTAAAATCTAAACCAAACTAAAGTCTAAACCAAATCATGGTATTAGGGTCAAACATTTTTTTTCCGGGTAAAAATCGAACCAAACCAATTAAATTTGATGTTAATTGGTTCGAGCAACAAATTTCCTAATTTTTAACCGTAACCCCGTCAACCCGAACCAATCATATTAATTCATATAATTTATATCATCATTATCATGGAAATTAGTATAAGATATTCAACTTCAAAAAATAAAAAAATGAAACACCTTTTTTACATTCACAACCAATATGGAGAAACCGAAAAAAATTAGAAATTTTATATTATTATGGAAATTTAGCATATGTGAATTAGATATTTTATAAAAATATTTTTTTCATATTTGTTTCTAATATCTCCGATCAATCCAACTCAAACAAACTCGTTGTTTTTCGATTTGGTTCGGTTTAGACATTATCACAAAAATATGCAAATCCAATACAAACCAACCCATATATTTTTGATCAATTTGAACATTAAATTATTTCGAAATCAAATCAAAACGGTCCACAAACGCCCCAATCTAGAACGCTCACCACAACTTAAACCAATCATTACTCCTTCCACCCTAACACCTTTCATTCCACCCATTCCAACCCTACCTTATGATTTCTTAAATAAATATTATCTTATTATTAATTTTACTAACTAGCAAAATGCTTGTGCGTTCGCATGTGTTAATTTATGTAATACAATATAGATTTTAGGGTTAATACCTATTTTCACCCCTGACATATGGGGTGTATTTGAAAAATCCCCCTGCCAAAAAAAAAGTTTCAATTGTTACCTTGACAAATTTTAAAAGTTTCAGTTTTTACCTTGAGGATGCCACATCACCTAAAAGGCTGATGTGGCTTATATTTTTGTTACATTTGTAAGTTTTTGTTATGCCATGTCACACAATACCAAATAAAATGTCCAGAATGCCCTTTTCTTAAAATCCCAAATTATTTCTTCATCCTTGCAAATGGGCGTGTGATATGTAATTTCAAACTACCTTTAAGATTTTCAGCCATGAACTAATACCACAATAACTAAATATGGAACAAGAACATTAGGACAAAACCTAAACCTTTTATTCAATGCAGATTCGTAACAAAATAGTGTTCTGTCTTTTCTCTGCATGAAAATATACGAAGCAGTGCCAGCCACCTAGTGGCTCTGGCCTAACCGGCGAACAGATCCAACACAAACTTCGAATCAGTACAACAACTCAAATCAATACAGGAGAATTTCATTCACAGCAAGAACAGAGGAAATAAGTGAAACATAAAAAGAAGAACGCTCACGAATCCGAATCTGACTCGACGAATCCCGTTCAGACCCTCTTCTGTGGACCACAAACATCCACTTCTCTTCTCCTTAAATGATGCTCAACCTTCCTCTTCAATCTCCGACGATTCTTCCGCCGATCTACCTCTGTCGTTCATTCTTCTACTTCATCCAACCCAACCTTCGAGGCCGATTCAATGCTTGTGGTTCTGCCTCCGCCTTCTTCGTCAACATCGTCCGCGTCAACTCAACTTCAGATCTCAGCTCGCGACTTAACCTTTTATCATCTCCGCTCCAGTCGTGCTTCAGCGACTCCTCATTGACGAACCTCTGATCCACCCTCACAACTCCTTCGACGCGCCTCCGCAGATCCTGTCCGCCTGCAAAATCATCACTTCCGAATATTTTTTCCGCTGGTAAATCGGGTCACACTCCGCGTTTTCTTTGTTTCTTCTGTTTCATGGTTTGCGCCCTAATTTGGAGGGTCTGAATTGAAACATAACATTTGCCAAATAATTTGGGATTTTAAGAAAAGGGCATTCTGGACATTTTATTTGGTATTGTGTGACATGGCATAACAAAAACTTACAAATGTAACAAAAATATAAGCCACATCAGCCTTTTAGGTGATGTGGCATCCTTAAGGTAAAAACTGAAACTTTTAAAATTTGTCAAGGTAACAATTGGAACTTTTTTTTGGCAGGGGGTTTTTCAAATACACCCCATATGTCAGGGGTGAAAATAGGTATTAACCCTAGATTTTATGTATATATACATGTAAATTTGAAATGAATTATTTATTTATAAAATAAATAATGATAAATTAAACTCAGTTGTAATATAAGCTCAGTTGTATTAAATGATCCCTTAGCATTTTTCCAACGTTTAAGCTTCCTATAGTGACTCGAAAAAGTACTCGGCTTAAATCATTTTCTTGTTGTGGTAGAGGCCTATAGAATCATGCCTTAAACCTTTGAGTGTTGAAGGAAAAAACATGTTTTGAGTTTTTCAAAAATTAGAATGCGAAAAAGTAACATAAAAGTCGATGGAAGATGCATGAACCGCGTAGGCGTTCTATCAGGTAATGGCCAGCGATGGTGCTGGGAACAATGTGATGGTTTTAAAATGGAAACGAATGACTATAAGTTAACGGTAATATAGGTTTTTGGCGCCAAAAAATGTTGCGGTGGCAGTCCAGTGGATTTGGCTGCGTAGGTTCGGTGACGCTCAGAACTAGTGACACTTCAGATGTTTCAGTTTTGTGTATATCATATTTGGTTGTTTCAGTTTTCTTTGTTGTTCATTAATGGGTAGTGTGTTAAGCTTGTTAAGGATATGTTGGATTTCAACAGTTATAAATATGTATCAGTATCATTCTATTCTTCATAATATTCAAAAGTTAGAATTGAAGACAAAGAAAATAGTTAAGAATCCTATTTGTAAACTTAGCAAGAAAATGGTATAAATTTTGTTATAATATGCCTTAAACCTCAGGTGAGAAAAGATTAAAAAAAAAATTTCAATACTGTCAAATTTCCAAGCTTGTTAAAGATCGTTAACACTTTGCGTATTAATTTAATCAAACTTATCCAACTTGGGGGGTAAAGTTGGGCATTGTGTCTTGAATGGATATCCAATATGTGAAAAGGATTATAAACTATGGGAAGAAGAACCTGGAGGATCAAAGTATATCATTCATAGATGTATTACTTTTAGTTAGTCTCAAGGGAGGAAGAGAAAATATGATCAGCTATTTATGTGAGTATAGAATCTAACTGCAAGTACACAGTCTATTGTGTAATTTTAAAAGATATCGAACCGCAGAGACCAATGGTCAAATCTATCGTTACTATTTTTTAGGGTGTTTATTTAAGGAAATTTATTAAAAGAAGGTAATGGAATGCGAAAAAAAATATATAAAGGAGAATAATAGAATTGCAATAAAATATAAGTAATAAACAAATTAGAAAACAGTGTTGAAATGTAGATTTCATTAATTAACAATATTCTTATTTGTTTCTAAGTAGGATTTCTAGTGGGGCAATATTTTCTATTTGGAAAATAATTAACTTAATGCGAACGGTCGCTCTCGTGTATTCAGAATTGAATTTACCTTCTAATTTATACCTTCCATCATCACACATGGCAGGCGCTCAATGTGTTAAAGTAATAAACCTATTTTTAAGAAATTAAACTCCATTCATTATTGAAAATTGGTTTTTGATTGAAAAGATTAATTTAAAAAGGGTTCTTAAGCTTTCACTTAAGAACCGGATCCTAAACCTATAAACGTACGAATTCATAAATAGCTTTAAAACTAACTGTGATATGGTGGCGGAACCGACTATTTTTACTGGTTTGTGTTTTGCGTTTTTTATTCGCAAAATGTCGCGGTAAGCAAGAGTCGCCACCGACTTTTATTTCATCCAATCATGGAAAAGGGAAAAGAACAGAAAAAGCCTTTTTCGAGAATATTCTGAGTACGGGGGGTAGATTATAGAAAGGGAAGGTGTTAGCACCCTTTCTATCCGTGGTTTTCCACGGGCTCTTAGGTACTTGCTCATTTTTGAAAATTGCTTGTGCGTGCTTGCTTTGAAATTTTTTGTTTTACTTTGTTTTAACCCTTGTTTCTGTCCTCAAGGGTGTTACTAAGTTGTTTTTGAAAACTTGTTTGAAAAGTGTTTGGTGTGAAAAAAGTTTATTTGTTTGAGCATGTACCTAACAGTTATCTACCTACTCGAAAAAAGGCATTCTTTTCCTCCTATCCTTTAGACCATGTTATCCTACTATTAGTGAGTAGGTAACCCTAGTCGTTGGATGTTTGAGGGACTATCTAAAGGGACATAATGGTCATTGAAGGCAACATGTAAGGATACCTTAGCATTTCGAAGGGACTGTCATCATATATTTGTAGGCAACATCGAGGGACAAGATCATTTCTCGTAGGAAACTCGAGGGACGTTAAGGGACTATGATCTTTATGATGACTTTTAGATTGAGGGTCTTTTGCTAAGATATCCCTACGTTCGAGGGACATGACCATTTTTTTCCGAGGCAACCAAGTGGGACAAACCCTAGGAGTGAGCATGTGTATGTGTGCTTTTTCAGTTAATTATCTTTGCACAATTAGGGTTTTATACCGGGTTAATTTTCAGTTAGTCTTTCCATACAATCCTATTAACATACATCTAAGTAGTTTATAGTTTTTGCGGGAATTAAAAATGCGAGAAATTAAACCTAGCTATTACAAGGCTTCGGGGAGGGGGATTAATTACATAACCAAAAATCGGGGAAAAGCGATAAGCAAAAACCCTAAGTTAACTATTACATCCTCAAAACAATTACAAAAATAATAAAAAGAATTAAATGCGCGCGGTAAATTAAAAGCGAGGCGACTAGGGTTTTGACCCTTGACTAAACCTAATTGTAATTGATTAAAGAAAAATCATTTTTTGTCGTTTTTGTTATTTGAGAAAATAATGAATAATTAAATTAGAAGAAAATCCTAAGTTCTAATTAATGTTAATTTTTGAAAATAAATTAATTAATTCTAAACAACCTATTTTTGTTTTTTTTGTTTTATTTGAAAAAAAGAGAAAAATTAAATCAAAAGTTAACCTAATTTTCTAATTTATTTTAATTGTAAAAAGAACAAATTAAAGTTACCCTAATTTAAATATTAATATAATTAATTAACAAAAATTTAATTTAATGAGAAAACAACTAAATCTAATTTTTTATGACTTTTCTTGATTTTTTATGATTTAATTAAAACTGATTTTAAAATATAAAATGATTAAACAAATTAAAATAGAAAATAAAAATCAAGAGAAATTGAGAATTAGGCCTGATAGTGTTAGCAAATCTGGGGGTTTGAAGTTGAATTCTTTGGCCCAAATACTCCTAAGCCTGGTTGACCACACCTGATCTGGTATGATGTTGACTTGAGTGTATGGTAGACCTTCATTGGAGAGGCGTGGGATCTAATGACATGCTGGATCACATGGACAGATGTTGATGGCGTATGGTGGTCACCAAGAGGAGCAATGCGCTGGATCAACTGACTGGAAATAATATAAATGAAAACGCTGGGACCTGGGGATCGAACCCAGGTCCTTATGCTTAAATCCAATGCCACGATGCCAGCTGAGCTATGATGGTTAGTTGTAATTATAATAATAATACAATATAATATAGGAAAAGTAAAAGATCTGGTTCAAAGGCGCGAAATTTCAAATGTCCCAATGGTTTCTTGACACGCCAGAGTCTTCCTCCTTTCTCCGTCGTTTTAGACTCTAGCACTTTTACCTACGGACGTCTTGCTGTAACTACAAACCTGTAACATTCAGAAATCCTGTACAAGCAATATAAATGAAAGGTAAGGGTACCAATCAACTCGTCTCATCCTCACGAGCATCATGGTACCTGATTCAAGGCCTAATTTTGCTTGTACTGAAAACCCCTAAAACGAACACATAAACCCTAGCCATGGAAACATCATGTACAGGCATCAAAAACATAATTAAATGCCATGGTTAGCTTGAAAACATGATCACAAACATGAATATAACAATCAAAAGTGCTAATGATGCAAGAATTGTGATAATCGAATTGCAAAAATGTGTCAAACCGTGTGAGGTGTAGCGTGCGTTTCTGGGCATTTTGAAGCTTGCAAAGGATGTTGTTAGCTTCCTGAGATGTCTAGCAAGTGATTGGGATAGCTAGGATGGCTTGAGATGGCCTGTGGAATGAAAACCAACTCACACTTTTCTTTGAATTTTGTGACTTTGCTCTGTCTCTTTTCACGATTCTCACCCCTGTTTTTTGGTCTGGAATTCTTCATTATATAACCTAGAATGAATTAGGTTAACAAACTTGGAATGAATCTTTGCATTTATCTAAGATTTGATTTGATTTGCAAGCTATATGATATGTTGCTATTTTGAGCCAAATCACGCCTTTCTTGTACCAATTGTCCTTAACTCGAATTGATCTTGTAATCTCAGCATATCTTGATTGCTAAGCTGTCAAAAAGACAAATCAAATCATATCTTTATTAATTTTCATCATTTATTTGATTTAATTCACTTTTTAATTAATGAAAAATCAAAATAAATTGAAAAATGAAGTACATAATGGGTGATTGAACATTTGAGTCGTGGACCATATTATAATTGAGGTGCAAGCATAAAAAGTTGGGCCCATTTAGCAAAAAATGCAAATTTGACCATATTTGACTTTTGGCAATTTTGCAAAAATGGTCAACTTGGCCAATGCATAACTCTCTCAATTTTGACCCTAGAGAGGTATTCTTGGACTTTTTAGAAAGCTTGG